GTGTGTGTGTGTGTGTGTGTGTGTGTGTGTGTGTGTGTGTGTGTGTGAGAGTGCTGAGTTATCTGACACTCTGTGACATGTGCAGAGGGGTCAGCATCTCTTCAAAAATGGCTCCTTTTACATTGGACCCTCTCAGGTTGGCTTCTTGTAGATCGCAGCCGGACAGGTCACAGTTCTGCAAAAAGGCAGTAAAACAGGAGGATTAAATGGGCCTGACAAACCTGCAATGGAGAACTGTATATGTATTATAAATGTTTTACAGGAGCCTTGAGTGACGATTATTTAGTGTATATCCCAAAATATACATATTTCCCAAAGGGTACATTCACATATTTAGATTGCTTGTTTTGTTCAACCAACAGCCTAAGAACCAAAGCTGTTCTGCTGTACTCTAGTCCTCAAAAAGGCTTGTGTAAACTCTCATTATTTATAGTCAACATGTTATGTTATCCCACAGGGAAAAGTATATAATATATAAATTGATTATCACATGCTGACTTCAGGTTGAAAAAGCAAATCAATCTGATATCTACAACACTTTAATTTACTTGCAAAATCAGCCTAAAACATAAAAACCTAATGCAGAAAAAAAGACTTAAGATTTAATTAATTGTACCCATTGAATTAACTGCTTGTTTATTTTCCTTTTTGGTCCTAGAAAGTTGCTGTAAATAAGATTACCAGCTGAGTCAACGTGAGTGTTTTCAGAGATAATCCCGTCTGACGGCCGAACTCACCTCGAGATCGGTCCCTGCTAAAGTGGCTCCCCGCAGGTTGCAGTTCTTCAGCTTTGCATTTTTCAGAGTGGCCACACGCAGGTTGATGCCGGTCATTTGGCTTCCTTCCATCTCAACTCCTTTCAGGTTAGCACCTGATTATAAAAACATTTGGTTAAAACATGACTACATATATATATGTTTAACTGCTCCGCACTTTGTTTACGAGTTGTGATGGATTACCTTCCAGGTTGGCCTTCAGGCCAGATGGATCTTCAAAATTGCATCCTTTGAGAGAAGCTCCCTCTGCATTGGAACAAAGCATCTTCACTCCTTGTAAGTTAGCCCCCTTCAAAAGACAACACAGATCCAAAGCCTTCATAATGTTATTGGAAGTTCATATTGAGTTACGCCTTCGAAGTAATGTATGTTAAGTTACCAGAGTGAGGAAAAAACAGTCTGCTTATTGTTCTTTTAATGAGGCGAATGTGAGAATAGGTGTTTAAGAACAGAAGGGCCCTTCCTCCATACAACTGAGGCAGCAGTAGGCGAGATGTTGCTAAAACCAAAAAAAACTCGAGTCCACCGTTCACCAGCAGGAAGGCCAACAAATATAAAATATCACGAAATGACACACAACTTCCAAAGAAAAAGAAAAAGTTCGCTTCCACACATTCTGCACTTAGTGTGCTGATGCTGTATGTGCACATGGATCATTTAGTGCTGCCAAGAAAAAGAGCTTTCAGACTTACATCCAGGTTGGCTCCAGACAGATCGGCCCGCTCCAGATTGGAACAGCACAGGTTGGCATGCGTCAGGTTGCAGCGGCTGAGATTAGCCATCTTGAAATTGATGTAGCGCAAATCCAGTCGGGACAGATCCGCACCACTGAAATTAAGACCCTAAAAAACAGTGAGAGCGACGGCGTCAAATGTTGACTTGAGACGGTGAAATGATGGGGTGAATGAAAACGTTTTGATTTTACTGTACCTGACAGCGAAGCTCTGACTTGGTGGGGGTTGCCAGAAGAAAGCGAACAAACTCCTTGCGGGAAATGGGAGAGTGGTCCTCTGGTGGCTGTGTGTTCTGTTTGAAAAAGGAAGTCACGATGCATTCAAGGGAGTGATCGCTTTTCCAAATTATAACTATTTACCTTCCACACTTCATATTACCTTGATTGCTACTTCCAGCTGTTCAGCAAGCTGCTCAATTCCAAAGAAGCGAGCCTCCTCGAGGACACCTGGAAGACATTCAGCACAAATATTATCAGGAAATTGAATTTAATAACCCTCCTCAGATTGATTTCGCTAGACTCCGTCATTTAGGGTTCGTCAGAAAGCTTACCTCGTATATTTATGCCTTCATTGATAATGAGCTGACCGTGTCTCAAGTAGTTGAGAATGGGCTCAAAGTACTCGGGGCTGCGGTCGATCAGGTAAGCCCCATGCTCGTCTTGCGTGTTCCCCCACAAATCTGGAGCAAACACAGACAGAACACGTTTGAGAGGATGCCTCGTATTCAACAAAAAGGAAATGCCGGCCGATTAGCCATAACTTACTTTTCTCTCCAAACATATGAGCAAGCATACTCTCTGGCTCCTTGCTGACCAAGGTGCTCCTGAACACAAAACAGACACATTCAACAAAGAAAATGCTACTGGAACAAAAAACAAACAAATATATATGCACACTGTAGTATAGCAATCAGAAGTGTGTTTATTAGTAGTAAAAACAGCATAAACAACAAAGATACCTGGTGGTGGTGAAGGGTCGACCACCAATATTAAGGGTCAGCCAGTCAGTGTGTGCTCCATGCTGATCAGATGTGACTCTGGGTTCATTTTGAGGGTCTGTGATATACAAAAGAGAAGAAGAAGAAGACACTGAGTGTCTGAGGCCATATTCAACTTGACAGCGGATGAGACTCCTGCAGCAGACATGTCACAGCACTCACCAACAAATGGATCTCCTTCTGACACGTAAAGCACGTCGTCATCTCTGTTATAGGAACAGACACAGATTAAGTTGGTATGCTCACAATGCACTGAAATTGCATTTTAATCACGATGAGCTCACCTTATAAGGGCAATGTCATCTATGAGACCACCCTTTCCATTGTATACAGAGGCAGCTTTGATTCCTAACTTGCTGCTTGCTACGGATAGTAAGTCGGACAAGGTCCCGTATACTGCTACAACCTAGAAGAGAAATGTTTAAAAATCAGAGGGTTGTTAAGGAGTCTAAAGCGAAATGGGTCACTCAGTGTTGATACGTAGCAGGTAGGTTACAGTGTGAGATTAGCGTTAGTCACGAGCTGGGATGACACACGTATGTTCAGTCATTCTGCAGCCCGAGCACCAACGTAAATAGTTTACAGAGTTGATACCAACCTTGCCATTTTTAGACGTCCCGTTAACAAACAGGGTAACTCTTCTCATTCTTTAGGCGCTTTGGTCACGTTTGCCGATTCAACCTGGCTAACGTTAGCTAGCTGCATCAGACAACAACACGAGACAGAAGATGCCTTCAAAAGTTGTCGGAAAAACAGGACACGCTACGTACAATTCTCCCAAATTCGGTTCGTGTAGGTTATGGCTTGAATTTTAATGTCTCACCCTCTCAGTCGTATTTACAGATACAGTTTTCAAGTAAGTATTTATTAACAGCGTATCACATACCTTAATGTGTACTAGGGCATCAAACGGAACAATTACGAACAAATTGATGAGCATCTTTTTGGTGATATATAAACAATTTAAATGATCGCACCAGTGTAATAATTCGCTTTTCGTTATTACTATGCTGCCACAGTACAAAGTAAGGCTATGTACCGACCCTATGGGACGCAAACCGGGACAAGACCTCGATAAAACGACCGGATCATAGAGTACCTGAAGGGGCCTTCTGACTGCAGCTCTGCCATTGGTCAGAGTATTCACACGTGGAGCCAGCTATGGCAGCCTCCTGATGATTTTATTCACTTTGTATAGCAGAAATAACAGCCATTTGCCTTGTTTCAACTCGTTTCTGACTTATAGCATTGTTTTTATTCGGTTGAACATTCATTTATTTACATTATTTTGGGGGATTATGTGTTTTGAAGATATGCCTGGTGGTAATGCAACGCAAAGTTGTCCACTATTACGATAGATGAAGGAAAAACGCGGAACTGTCTAACAGCATGATGCCTGTAACCTAAGCCTGTACCTCAAACAGCTTCAGGGTTGAATCAGTGTGGACATAGTTGTATCCTGTATGTGGCAATTAATACAATGGCGTCTGATAGACACCATTGTTCGTGTTGCTCCCATCCAGTCTCCTCTGCCAGTGTTTGCCAGACGTTGACCGAAATGGATTTTGAACGAGGTTTGCATTCAACTGTCAGGCATGTGGTGGCTGAGTTAAACCACGGTTCTGATAGAGTTAAAGTATATACGACACATATTACATTGACTGTTTTCACCTTTTAATTAAATGGCTTGGCTAACAACTATTTGACTGATCAGTCTATGAAGTAGAGTGCTTTGTTGTGTGTCATCCCTCTATGCAGGTATCTGGTCTGCTGCAATGGACGGGGACTTGGATAGGGTCAAGATCTTGGTCCAGAAGGGCACTGACCCTAACCTGAGAGACTCGGCTGGATACACAGCTCTGGTGAGCTTTCTGGGAGGATGTTTTGGCTGTAAGTGGCCTCATGTATCTAAACTCCTGCATTTTGTGTATTTTATTTCAGCACTATGCAAGTCGCAGTGGTCATCACCCTGTATGCAAGTTTCTTCTTGAGATCGGTGCTTGTGCATCTCCCCAGACATCAGGCGGTGCCACGCCACTCCATCGATCAGCTTACTGCGGCCGTCTCGATGTGGTCAGACTCCTGCTGCACCACGGAGCAGATCCACTGATCTGTGATGACGATGGTGCATCCCCTCTACACAAGGTACAGAACTGCGAAACGTAATAAAAAGCATTCCGGAGAGACAGTTTGATGGTCAATTAACCGCCGCTTGTATATGTTGCTCTGTTAAATGCTCGAGCAGGCTGCAGAGCAGGGTCACGAAGAGGTGTGTGAGCTGCTTCTGAAGCACTGTCCAGCACTCTGCAGCCGGGTGAACAAGAGGCTCCAGCTTCCCTTCCAGCTGGCAACGCAGCAAGATCTGCAGGAGCTGTTAAAACCTCCTCGGTGACCACGGACACACTGCATCTGGGCCATGCTGAGGTCACACAATTGATATGAGCTCAAAACATACTAGGTGAGGTCCGCTGAAGTCTCATCTTGTCCTGGATTCATTACATTTGGCTTCAGAACCACTGAACGAACCTGGGGGGACACAACATCACTTTCCAGCTTCATACCATGTAAATAACACCAGTGTCCAGACTCTCGATACTGCTTCACTCTCCTTCAAGTAGTTGTCAAATTCATAATAAATCTGTTTGCGCACATCAGCCTTCGTGTTATGAGGAGCAAGTTACAGCTGAGGTACTTAGTTAAAGTTTGAGCACTGAGTGATGATGAGGAAGGAAGAATCAATACTCCCAGCTCACCATATGATGCGGTGCACTGATCTTTAATGTGGGTTATTTCACTGTGGAATTAGCCTTGCATACATATTTCTATGTTCAATACAAGAGCAGAGCAGGAGTACAAGGTAGCTACTGACAGGCCAGAGAGAAACAACAGTCCAGTTTAAAAGGAACAAAGTCTTGTTGTGAGTGCTGACATTTCTTCTTTCAATGTGTAGCATTTCAAATGTATTTGAGCTGTGCCCTACGAACACCCGCGTTTGCACCCACTGCAGCATTAATGATTGTTTTCTTTGACATGTTGGACAAAGGAGTTTGTATTAAAACTGGAGGTCAACATTGTTTTTTTGTCTGGTACATTTGTGTGAAGGGATCCTTGCTGGTCTTTTTGTGTGGCAGCAGGGGGAGCTATTGTCTTAACAGCAGCATGTGTTTTTTTCCAGTACACCATGTGAATTAGCTGGCAGCTCACACACAGTGACCTCATCCGATCCTTCCAGCACTCTGTTGGAAAACTAAACAGGGTAACTGTTAGAAAGAGAGAAAAGCATCAGTGTAACTGTTGCAGCTGAGCGTGAGACATCATGGATCAACACAAGCTGTTTAATTATGTGTATGTCACCATGGGTTATTTACTGATGAAGAACAGATATTGTTTTTGTCTAAACTGTTGATGATTCCAGGCCATTTTCACACATTGGCATCTTTACACATGACATGTTTTTAAAATTTGACATGGTCTTTAGGAACACATATTTTGCTCGTGACCCGTTGCGTGCAGCATGTCTCAGCTGCTTCGACCGTACTACTTTTATGTCCCTGAGTAGCTCAGCAAATATTTGGGATCTGCTGCTTATTATTCACACTCTTCTACAGTGAGAAAATGCGTAGCAGATTTTTGGTGAAGTAATGACCTCAGCCTCACAACTGTCCGGTTGCTAGTTTGTAATCCCCGTGGTTATTGATACCTCCTTGTGTATCATAGTGACCTCTAATGGCAGATTAAGAAAAAGGAAATGGTAGCTTCACCATCACACAATGTTTATGTGCATTTCTTTAAAAAAAAAAACAACTGCTGTGCTGGAACTTTTTATTTTATTGTTATGATAAGCAGTTATTAGCATTTGTCTTGTCACTCTCACTGAGATAGCTCGAACTATCTTTAGTTAAGTCAAAACACATTATTGAGTGCTTTTATAAAAAGCAGTATTTATAAGCAAAGGGAACAAAGAATGGAAGCCTAGGGGTGAATGAAGGATGTTGATATTTCCATAATACTTTCAGCTATTGTCTCATATACTTACTTATTCAAAGCATGTTCAATAACGAACATGTGCGCATACGAGGGGCAGATCCCCCTCAGCCGTCCACAGATGTGCACTGTTCGTACGACACTTCTTCGGCGCTCATTCAGTCCGCACATACACGACCCTGCGGACGAAAACCTCTTGCTGAATTCTGAGGAACTTTCATTGGGTCTGCTGGTGGGCGGTGTTTCAAAACCACCTTCAAACCACATCCAGTGCCGTGACTGGAGGGGTGCCAGGCCACATCTGGAGCTCATTGCAGCTGACGCCACACAGCACAAGGAGATGGGGTGTCGGGGGGTAGATGGAGAGGGATGGGGGTATTTTTGCTCGCAGAACTAAGCCAAGGGAGCTGTTTACGCTCAGTGACAAGTTCCTCCTTCCACACAACTGAGGAGCTGTTAGGGACAAGGATCACCCATTTTGAGTGCCACATGTCGGTAATAGCAGCAGTTTGCTCAGCCTCACTTCACTGTTCAATGAGGAGATTGTTTAGAAGATATCCATGTTTGTTTTCGCAACAGCAGGAAGAACAAAGTACATTGTGTTGTTTGAATCAGAGAAGTAATCTTCTCTGCCCACAGCACCTTCTGATTGTTCCCTTGCCAGGTTCTATGTAACATAATCAAAGTTGATGTCTGAGATTTGCTAGCAGAGAGCGAGGTAATGGAAACCCTCTGTGTCACTCGGTAAAAGTGGAGGAATATTAAACAGCCTCATTCTTTTCTTGATCATTTTTCATGAGCTGGTTTGAATGTGAGAGCTGCTTTGCCCTTTTATGTGGAAACAACCAGACTGGCATCTGATGGGTGAAAATAAGCAGCTTTGTGTTTAAAAAAAAAAAAAAAAGTTAATTTAAATTAATTAAATCTGCTTAACTCAGTATTGTCAGTGCAAATGTTACAACAAGTGGCGGATAAGGTGGGATTTTGAAGCCTAGCTTTTGAGAGCTTTTTCGTAATGGGAGGACTCCATAAGATGAGGAATTTGGATTATAACTCTGTTTAGTGAGATTTATTTGGAAAGCAATGAAACTTCCTGGCCCTGGAAACCACTTCCACCATAATGAGCCCAAGTTAAACCAGGACTGGATGTTATTTTCCTCAGAAATAGAAGGTGGTCTGTGTGCCATGCTTGCATGGAGGATTTAAAGTCAGTGCTTGGGACCTTATTTTAAACTGCACTTTCACCTCAGAGTGGATGATGAGAACAGCTTGTCCTTTGTGTGTATTTCTCCAGTTTGATAAGATTTATAAGCTTTAAAATTAGTAGTTTTTGTGGTTGAAAATAATTGTGTAGTTCAATACTAAAAATATATATAATTCACCATTTTATTCAAGTGTGCCAGATGTCAGTTATTTCCATTTTGGTGATATCCGGATGTTTGTTTTCATAGATAAAAGGGTCATCCGGGCCTTATCTTTCCTGTGTCCACCTGTACAAAACTAATGCCCCGCTCTTGCCTCCCAGCTGCCCTGGCAGAGCCTGAGCTGTCTGAATTATCCCGAAGTAATCAGGTAAATGGCTGGCAGATGGGCACACATTGAGTAGTGGAGTACCAGACTCTGGCATGGAGGACCGCCCCACTTCGTCTCATCTGCATCGGGGAAAGTGGGAGTGTGGGAGCTGGACGAGTGGGGCGTGTGTAATCAAATCTACGGGAGCTGCTCCTTGGAGATGCTGCATAATCCAATTTAGGCCCACTCCCACTTCAAAGCAGCATGTTGTCTGCTGGTTCAAGTGATGTAGCAGATCTTACGCTCCCATTTTCCTGGTCAGCGGGTGATGAGAGCCATGAGTCCAGAGGCTGCAGCTCAGCTCTTCCAGGCAATCAGCGCAGTGACTGTGGGAAATGTCCGGTTTATCAGGTGATCCAGCCAAACACAAATTGAGACCACGTGATACATGTTTTTTGTAGATTTAATCAACATACTCGGTAGCTTTAGGTTTGGATCTGACTTTTCAACCACATTATAGATCTCCCAGAAATTTAAATATTGGATGTGGAAGCCATGTCAGCAGGATTTGGGTTCCTGCAGCCACACGTGGACTAAAATTCAACCGACACATCTGGACAATGTCACAACGTCTCTACTGGTGACCATCATCATGAAAAAGTTTCCCCAGTAAATTGTGCTCAGTGAACATGCTGTCATTTCTCTGTTATTGTGGATATATTTGAGACGGGAACTTTATTTTCCCAGATGTTTTTTCATTTTTATTTTCAGACTGGTGGATGGTTTCTTTTTATTGATTATGGAGATGTAATCTTCTCAAAAGCAGGGCCAGACAAACAACCCATAAGCTGTACCATATGAGTCAGAGGACAATTAATGAAGCTTTTGGGATCATATATCTAGGTCCCATCGTACCAGACGATGGGACCTATTTCTCATCGGCCAAATCTGCAGAGGAGCTATCTACTGTGCATGCCCCTTGTTGAGCTTTTCTAGGTTATTGTTCATTTGCACAGGTTTGCTTGTCGTCCATTCTATGTTGAGTTTTAACTCGCATGTCTATTTTACATGTTTGTTTTTCCTTCTAAGGATTGATAATTCATCAAGTTTCACCTAAAGACTGCTGTTGTTGTACAGACATGTTTTAGACAATATATCTCACAGTCCCGTATACTCTCTGATAAAACTGTCAGTAAGGTTGGTTTTTACATGAAGACTGTTGTAAAACTGGAAAGGTTACCCAAACTCATCCTATAAACTACAACCACAAAGAGTCTGCTCACTATCACTATCACCCGTCTCTCCACTTCTTCTCAGCCTAATGGCTTCTTTTGGCAAATTTTTGTTTTCAAGCCAACAACTTTACTGTTTTAGAGCATTTAGCAGCAGCTAAAGAGTCAGATATTTATCTGATAGCTATAGTTACTTTACTGTTTTTACACACATAACATATATGATGAACTTATAAAAGGATGCATTGTTATACAATAAAATATCCAAGAGTATATGACGAAATTAAAATGAGCCCCACCTCATCTAATTTAAATATTAAAATGCTACTTAAATATCAATGTGTTAGTGATAGTAATCCAATGTATTAATATGTTGTAGAATGGGGGGCATTTTGGGCATTATAGGTACTTCTATGAATACTTTAAGTACATTTTGCTCATAATACCTTACTTTTACTTAAACATTTGAAATGCAGAACCTGAAATTGAGTATTTTTTCAAAAAATTGTTAAATGGTCAGACAAAGACTTTGGGGAAATGGATAAGAGTCATATCTAAAACTGTCATCTTTGATGAACAGGGTCACCTTTTCATCATTCATCGTCAGAAGTGAAGCATTAAAGGCAGACTTCATGTAAAGACAAGATCCTGCAAGCCCTCATTTTGTGTATCGGATCAGATAAATCAGATTCTTCAATGCATTCAGACATGAAGGCAAATGTAGTTGGAGTACAATAGAAGAGCAGAAGTAAAATGCTGCATTTGGTGATTATTCACACCTAAAACAATGCATCTGACACCACATTTGTTAAGATCTCCCCTACGACACCAAACAGCAAAATATTCACGACTGAAGTGACAATACTCCCATTCAGTGTGAATGACCAGGGAACGCAACACCGCGCTGCATGTGTAATTGAACAAGATGGTTACGCTGATGAACTAAGACTCATAGAGGCACGGCGTCCCTCTGTCAGCAGGTGCCCGGCACACACTGGCCCATTCATATGCACATTCCTGTCTCTCCACTCGCAGCCCAGCAGGTTCCTCCCGGCCACTCAGGACAGGGGCTGACGCACACAAAGGGTCTTCAATCTGCCTCAGACAACAGCCAGCATAAAGGCCCGGAAAGCCACAACAGTGTTATGTCAAGGAGCAGACTGGGGGTGGTGAGCGGAGTTTGGGGGGCCCCTGCGTAGTACCCGGGCACTGCTGATGGATGGATGAGGGCTGGGCTCAAACAACGTAGTGGAAGGCCTGTCTGAGGTTTTTCTGCATAAAGGAGGATATTTGTACTTGCCCAGTGACAATGGAATGCAAACACGAAAAGTGAGGACAATAAAACACCACTTTGGTGGCGATGAAGAAGCTGCTAGGGAAATCATCATGCA